ATCCGATAATCGCCTTTTGCCGGGGCGACAGGATAATAGAAGCGAAACAGTATGTGTTTACGCCCGCACACATAGGGTTGAGCATTGCAACATCGACGGATCCGCGGTGAAACGGCCTACGCATTCGCAGGTTCATATGTCCTCACCGATGTGGAGCAAAAATGGTGACTGCTTCTGTCGTCGCAAATATTCACGGAACGTGGAATATTTTGTGGGATGCATAGAAGGCTTTTAGTCTTGTTGGTACAATTCATTTAACCCTGTGTATGGTTCCAAATAAATCGTTGCAAAAAGTTTCTTTCAACGCAAGTACACAGTCCTGCGCTCCTAGCTATTTTGTTCCACATCAGTGAGGACACATGAACCTGCGAATGCGTAGGCCGTTGCACCAAATATCCGTCGACTTTGCGATGCTCAATTGTGTGTGCGCGCGGGTAAACACATACTGTTTATCCTGGCGCCCACGCCAGCCTCTGAAACAGTATAAAAGCTAGCGTTGATCAGGGACCGCTTCGGAGTTTAGGACAACGAACATGTCTCTATATTTTTCACTACTGCGGCTACAGCAACAGCGACTACTGCTCATGACCTTCTACGTCCTCGCCCATCTTCTGCTGAATATGCCGTTCTCGAAAACTGCCGTAATGGAGAGTAATTGGTCAAATCGCATAGGAGGAGTACTCCAAGCAGAAGAGCACGTTCTGCACGTGAAAAATGACCCTGTGAAGAAGGAAGTCGAAGAACCCGTACGGGCGCCTCATCTGCTCCCGTCGGCTGACCGGTGGATCCGACTTCGTGCACCTGCCCAACTTGAGGAACATCGCAAGGTCCCTATAGGTGTTTAAGGACGACTATTACCTGAATAGTGAATATTTCATTTTTATTCCTTGAGAGTACGCCTTTTTGAATACAGCTATTTGATCTTCATGCTCTCTTTGTTCTAATTTTTGGAGAATACCGCATCTCTGTGTCAGGCCCACTGTTCCTGTGGCAGAGGAACTGATTGCGTTCATGTTGTTAGGCTAACGTTTAGCAATCTGACCACAATACGCTTATAAGAAATTGGAGTTGCAAGTGAGCTCCCCTGCCAATTTTTCTCGGAATGCGGAGTTCGTCAGGGAACGAAAGTTCACGCGTCTATTGACAAGCCGATTCTACTCCAAGTCGACTAACAGGTTGAAGGGAG